CCTTCGTGTTTATAAATTTGGATAAAGAGGCTACGATGTAGACTTCGGATGGAATATCTTTAGACGTGAATCTCTAGGCTCAATAGATATATATATATTTTCCACCCTCAGCTCTTCGCTACCAGAGAGGAATTTAAAAAAGAAAAAGAACATCTGAATTGATTGGAAAGAGAGAGAGAGAAAAAAAACACACCCCGCGCTGATTTATTTTAAACTTTTGCCAGTTGAGAGACACGTTAAGATTCCAGTTGCTGTGGGGAGGTGGGGGGGGGGGAAAGGGGTGAAAATGTAATTGTAAAACTTTTGCAATTAAAAAAAAAAAAAAAGATTCCAGTTGCTGTTTCGTTCATCCCCAATGCATCAGTTTGTTTCCTGAAACGCTCGTTTTACCTTCCCTGTCTGGCTTTTTCAGCCCCACCATCCTTGTACAATCACGGTTTATTTTATTATTTACTTATTAAACAAATTTATACTCCGGAGCCGTGCAACTCTCACATAGGTGACTCCGGCTGGCTTACAACGTGTAAAAATGTTTTAAAAATCCATCATAAAATAAAACTGTTCAAAATGGGGGGGGAACCTACCCCACCCCCCTCCCACCCCCCTGTGGCAGCAACAGTACAATGAAATTATAACCACTTGACTGATTCCTATTTCCATTTGCGGTCCTTAGGCCTGCTGACAAAGCCATGTTTTTAGGGCTTCCTGAAATTAAATTTAAATTTAGGATTTAATTTCCTGTGGGTCGCAGCTCTCTTTGCCTCTGCTTCGTGGCTCGGAAAGGAGAGCCCATAAAAAGCCAAGTTTCTGGAGAGCTGGATGGAGAGCTCACAACTCAGTGGGGTAACATCTCCTTAGAATGGATGGAAGGAAGGAGAAAAGAGAGGGAGAGGACAAAAGGAGAGAGAGAAAAAAGAAAGGGAGAGGGAAAGGGAGAGGCAGAAAGGAGAAAAAAAAAACAAGAGAGGGAGAGGAAGAAAGGAGAAAGAAAAGAAAGTGGAGGGAGGGAAAGGAGAGGAAAGGGAGAGGAAGAAAGAAAAAGAAAAGAAGGAGAGGAGGGAGGGAAAGGAGAAAGGAAAGGAAAGAGAGAGAGAGGAAAGAAAGGAGAGGAAGAAGAAAGAAAAGAGGAGAGAGGAAGAAGGAAGGAGAGGAAGAAAGAAAAAAAGGAAGGAGGGAGGGAAAGGAAAGGGAGAAGAAAGAAGAAGAAAAAGAAAGTGGGAGGAGGGAAAGGAGAGGAAATGGAGAGGAAGAAAGAAAAAGAAAAGAGGGAGGGAGGGGAAAGGAAGGAAAGGGAGAGAAGAAGGAGAAGAAAAAGGAAGTGGGAGGGAGGGAAAGAAAGGAAATGGAGAGGAGAAAGAAAAAAAGAAAAGAGGGGGGAGGGAAAGGAAAGGAAAGGAGAGGAAGAAAGAAAAAGAAAAGAAGAGGAAGAGGGAGGAAGGAAAGGAAAGGGAGAGGAAGAAAGGGAAGGAAAAGAAAAGAAAAAGAGCAAAAGGAAAGAGACAAGCAGGGCAGGGAGGTGGCATGGATCAGATTGGAGTGGGGTGGGAAGTGGGGAGAGACAGACCCCCTGGAACAATCTTAAAGGACAGGAGAGAAAACTTGACTGCTCATCTTCCTTTTACAAAATCCATTTGCGAGGTCAAAATTGGCAGTTATTCTGATAAGCCTTTTCCTTCCTTCCTTCCTTCCTTCCTTCCTTCCTTCCTTCCTTCCTTCCTTCCTTCCTTCCTTCCTTCCTTCTCCTTTCCTTCCCTTCCCTTCCCTTCCCTTCCCATTTTCTTCCCCCTCTCTCCTGCAAGAAAACCACCAAGCTCAGAGCTTCTGTATATAAACAGAAAGTCCCACTCTCTTCCAGCACTGATGATATTACATAATTGGGTCATGAAACGTCTGCAAGAAAACAACCCCCGCTCAGAGAGCACCGAGGACCCCACAAACTTTGTTTTATTCCTAAGGAGAAGAAAATTTTGGTGAAACGCTCCAAGAAGATTGGATTCCTTTTGACTCCACGGATTCATTGTCCTCAACTGTCAGGAAATTCCTCCTCCGTTTTAGGTTGATCCTCTCCTTGATCAGTTTCCATCCGTTGAGAATAGGTTGAGCCCCTTTGTGGCAGCCCCTCAGATATTGGAAGATGCTTTCGTGTCATCCCTGGTCCTTCTTTTCCTTAAACTAGCTATACCCCAGTTCCTTGTGAATTGCCAAGGATTCCCCAAGTGATGCTACATCCATTCTCCTGACTCCCTTTTCTTTCTTTCTTCCTTTCTCCAGGCAAATGGAGGCTGGCAGGACGCGACCACTCCATCTTCTGTGACTTCTCCAACAGAAGGGCCGGGAAGCGTGCACTCCGATACCTCTAACTAATCTCCCAACAAGTCTTTCCTCTCTCCACCCCACTACTCCCTCTTCCCCTCCTTGCCCCGCAATGCGCTGAGATGCCTTCTCCGTTCGTCCGTCATCCCAGAAGGGAAAGACAAGAAAAAAAGAGGGGAAAAAAAACCCACCCCAAAAGAAATTTTTTCTCAGCCCATCACGGAGAACCCTTTTTCTTTTTCCTGCACCACCTTGTCGGACAGCAAAATTTGGGCTCCCTTTTTTTTCACACACCCCACCCTCTCCGGAAGGTGTGATTTGAAACCTTTATACTTCAAACTCGCCGAGAGGCGCGCCCTCACTCCATATTAAGGAAAACAAAACATAAAATAAAAATAAACCACCAAGCACTTTATCCAGCTGAGGGGCCAAGATGGCGCATGGTTTTGTTGCCCTCCAGCGGATTCTTAAAAAGATGGCCGCCTTCTGGTTATTGGCTTCTTGGCTTGAAGAGGTCATCGGAAGACTTTATCCTTAAGAATAAACTCAAGTTTTATCCGCACCAGGCTGAGCTGGTGACGGGTGAGTGGCTGGGTGGGGAGAAAAGCTGGGAGACTTATTCACCCTCCACCCAATTTCCACCGCCATTGGAAGGGAGTTGGCCAACCTTTAGTTGTGCCCAGTTTTTCAGAGCGGGGCGAAACTGTGTTGTTTTTTTTTTCTCAACGCTTCCTTGCTTTTCTGCTGATATTTGTCGGGGCTCTCTCTTTTCCACCGAGGGTTGTTTTATTCCTTTTGAACCTTCGCAACCGATGATAGCACAGTCCTCTTCTCCTCCTGGTGCGTCGTCCGGCACAGACAATCCGTGCGAGGCGGAGACACTGGCTTTTGACATTTGCAAATATATATATATCTACATCTATACATATATATATATATATATAAACCCGGTTGCCAAGTCCACGTTGAGTTGCATCCGCCGAGGTTTTGGCCACCGCTCCTTCGCGTTGGCTGATTGGGGGCACTGTTCTCCGGAGTGTTGTACATAGTGTAGCTAAAAAGAATATTTATACATCTCACCAATCAAAACACAGCTTTATTACCTCATGCGAACTCATGCGAACCAATAGAATCATTCTTTAGCTTAGAGTGCTCACTACTACCTCTAAACCAGCCTTCCTTCAACCTGGGATTCTCACGATGTCGTAGACCGATCAGCTGTCACCATCACTGGTCAGCCACGTCTTTCTTCTGGGGCTGATGGGAATTGTAGTCCAACACACCCAGAGGGTGCTGGGTTGAGGAAGCCTGCTCTAAACAATACTCACGCTGTACTTTCTTTCTTTCCCCCCCTTCCTCTTTAATCTCTTCCCTCCTTTATTTTTCGACCGTTTATTTTTTACCATCTTGTAACCAACTCTTTTCAATTCTTTCCTCCATGTAACTGTACATTGTAATCTTTTAAATAATAAGGAAAAAGAAAACGTTTTTTTTTAAAAAAAAAAAAAAGGAAAAAAAGAAAAAAGGAGAAAAAAAAAATTCCAGGTTGCGTTGATGACTTTTGAAAAAAGAAAAAAAGAACCTGATTCTATATATAAATATAAATATATATATACATATATATATATATATATATATATTAAAAAAAAAAACCACCCGGACACCCTTTGAAGCTTTGAAATAGAAATTTTGAGTTTCGACGCTAAGCAGTCAAACTGTTTGTAAATACGGAGAAACATTTTGAATGTTCTTTCATCCTGTTACGATCTTAATTCACGCGAAAGAAGAAGAAGAAGAAAGAAGAAGAGAAAAAAAACAAAAACTGAAGCCGATAATGGATTGTAAAGGAGATCGCGTTCTTGATATTCAATATATTTCACCCTGTATAATTAGGGAAAGGGGTGGGTGGGTGCCGTTTAATTTTTCTTTCTTTCTTTTTTTTTTCTTTCCTTCTTTCTTTCTTAATTTTTTTCCCCCCTCTTTTATATAGTATGTGATTCTGAAGCTGATTGGCTGAATTGCAAAAAAACAAAAAAACAAAAAAAAGTGGCAGTGATTCTAATTGTATTAAACCGTTTGGTGTTACTTTCTAACTGGATTACACCCTGAACTGAAGTCTTCCCTTGTGATAGTTCTATGTAGTCTGGAACCATGAATAAAACTTTTTCCTTTCATGAGATCAAACGTGGATGGGATTTCTTCTCCCCTTATGAAGGAGTTGGCTATCCATCAAGGTCAGGCTGGAGAAACGGAGGCCGGCCAGGAAATTCTGCCAAAGAAGAAATGCCAAGGCCCTAGCTAGCCCCCGCCATCCCTGACAGTAAACCATGTTGGCTAAAGTAGATGGGCTTTGGAGTCTCCCAAAGTTCAGGAAGAGTCCTGGCTAGCTCCCATTATCCTGACAATAAGCCATGTTGGCTAAAGTAGATGGGCTTTGAGTCTTCCAAAGTTCAGGAAGACCCTGGCTAACTCCCATCATCCTGACAAGCCATGTTGGCTAAGGTAGATGGGCTTTGGAGTCTCCCAAAGTTCATAACTTTTAGCTAGCTCCCTTCATCCCTGACAGTAAGAATCATGTTGGCTAAAGTAGATGGGGTTTGGAGTCTTCCAAAGTTCATGACTCCCTAGCTATCTAACATCATCCCTGACAATAAATCACATTGGCTAAAGTAGATGGGTTTGGAGTCTTCCAAAGTTCAAAAAGACCCTGGCTAACTCCCATCATCCTGACAATAAGCCATGTTGGCTAAAGTAGATGGGCTTTGGAGTCTTCCAACGTTCATCAGAGCCCTAGCTAGCTCCCACCATCCCTGACAGTAAATCATGTTGGCTAAAGTAGATGGGCTTTGGAGTCTCCCAAAGTTCATAACTCTTTTAGCTAGCTAACATCATCCCTGACAATGAGTCACATTGGCTAAAGTAGATGGGCTTTGGAGTCTTCCAAAGTTCATAACTCTTCTAGCTAGCTCCCACCATCCCTGACAGTAAATCATGTTGGCTAAAGTAGATGGGCTTTGGAGTCTTCCAAAGTTCATTGGGCCCTAGCCTAGCTCCCACCATCCCTGACAGTAAATCATGTTGGCTAAAGTAGATTGGTTATGGAGCCTTCCAAAGTTCAAGAAGACCCTGGCTAACTCCCATCATCCTGACAATAAGCCACGTTGGCTAAAGTAGATGAGCTATGGAGTCTTCCAAAGTTCATAACTCTTTCTAACTAGCTCCCATCATCCCTGACAATAAACCACGTTGGCTAAAGTAGATGGGTTTCAAGTATATGTTGCTGATTGTAAGTACGCTTCAAAAAAACTTTCCTGAAGAACCTGTGAATTGCTATTAAACCTTGATTGCTGCTGCTCTTTGATGGGGTTGGAGGTGGTAGTGATGATGGTGGGTGTCTAATCCAGCATGTATTTTGGGTTGTTTACCCTCCTTTCAATTTCATCTACTCTGTTTCTATCGTCTCTTGTGGGTTCCATTAAAAAAAGAGAGAGAGCTCTGTTCCAATAATGTCTCCTCTCCTTGAAAAGAAGGACGCAAATGGATTTGTTCAGAGGTTTGAACAGAACCCAAATGTGGGTCTAAAGAATCCAGAACCCAGTCCCAGCGTGTTCACCCCAGTCAAACAGGCTCCCTAGGAGAAGGATGCCTAGAGTTCAGCTTCCTTCAGCATCTCCAAGGCCCTCTGTATCGAAAACTCCCATCTAAAATTTCAGTCTAAAGCATTTTCCCTTGACATGTGGAAGGAAGAGAGAGGAAGGAAGGAAGGAAGGAAGGAAGGAAGGAAGGAAGGAAGGAAATGAGAATAGCAATTGCACTTAGACTTATATACCACTTCGCAGTCCTTTTACAGTTCTCTCTAAACAGTTTACAGAGTCAGCCTCTTGCCCCCAACCATCTTGGTCCTCGTTTTAATGACCTTGGAAGGATGGAAGGCTGAGTCCACCTTGAGTTGGTGAGAATTGAACTGCTGGTAGTTGGCAGAGTCAGCCTGCAATACTGCATTCTAACCACTGCACCAAGGAAGGAAGGAAGGAAGGAAGGAAGGAAAGAAGGAAAGGAAGGAAGGAAAGAAGGAAGGAAGGAAGGAAAGAAGGAAAGGAAGGAAGGAAGGAAGGAAGGAAGGAAGGAAGGAAGGAAGGAAGGAAGGAACAATAGCAATAGCACTTAGACTTATATACCACTTTGCAGTCCTTTTACAGCCCTCTCTAAGTGGTTTACAGATTCAGCCTCTTGCCCCCAACCATCTGGGTCCTCATTTTACCCACCTCGGAAGGATGGAAGGCTGAGTCCACCTTGAGCTGGTGAGAATTGAACTGCTGGTAGTTGGCAGAGTCAGCCTGCAATACTGCATTCTAACCACTGCACCACGAAGGAATGAAGAAAGGAAGGAAGGAAAGAAGGAAAGGAAGGAAGGAAGGAAGGAAGGAAGGAAGGAAGGAAGGAAGGAAGGAACAATAGCAACAGCACTTAGACTTATATACCACTTCGCAATCCTTTTACAGCCCTCTCTAAGTGGTTTACAGATTCAGCCTCTTGCCCCCAACGATCTGGGTCCTCATTTTACCCACCTCGGAAGGACGGAAGGCTGAGTCAACCTTGAGCCTGGTGAAATTTGAACTGCCAAACTTCTGGCAGCTGGTGATCAGCAGAGGTAGTACTGCAGTACTGCACTCTTAACCACTGCACCACCGTGGCTCTGTGAGGAAGGAAGGAAGGAAGGAAGGAAGGAAGGAAGGAAGGAAGGAAGGTAAAATGGGACAAAACACACGTCTTCCTAACAGCCTCACTTAGCAACAGAAATTGGGGGCTCAATTGTAGTCGTAAGTCGAGGACTCTCTGTAAAGAGACGGTTAGCTCTCCGTCATTCTGAAAGCCATGCTATTTTGAAGTGGACTTCCTTGTACTCGGTGACCTGGCCAATCCATTGCCGGCCTCTTGATTAATGAGACAAACAAAAGGAAGGTCCTTGTTCCTGCAACGGTCCTTGAAGGAAGCCCTCAGACCTTGAACCCTTAGCTATTTAGAGATGGGACATCAAAACAGGAAGAGGACTTAGAGGTGGAGCATCACCCCTGGGAAGGGTCATTTCCTATGGTGTCCTGTGGGTCACAGAAAGGTGATCTCTGAAAAGCCACCATGGCAACGTCCGAAGTGGCCCAAATTCACCAGAACATCCCTTGCAAGAAAAGGTCCACCTCAAATCCAGATGATTTCATTTGTGGACACATAAAAAGGACCGTCGGGTGCCTGTTGCTATATGTGTTTTTCGGTCATGAAATAGATTTATCTACACTTCATTGTGAGTTTTCCTAGTCTCTCCCTTCCCTTTCTCCTTTATAGGCAGGCTTCGGTCGTAGAAAAAAAAGATGTTGAGATCCTAGAAAGAGTCTAGAGAAGAACAACTGTGATGGTAAAGGATCTTCTGGAGGCTAAATCATAGGATGTGTGGTTGAGGGAACTAGGAATGTCCAGCCTATTTGAAAAGAAGGACTAGGGAGGGCATGATGACTGTCTTCCAGTACTTGAGGAGCTCTCACAGAGTAGAGAGGGATGACTTGTTCTCCAAAATAGGTGCCCCCAACCTTTCGGACCTCAGGGACCACTAAATTCATAATTTTAAATCCCATGGACTACTAATATGATCTGCCTAATGATCGGCTGGGCATGGCCAACTCAATGGCCAACTCAGTGTCACTTGCGTCGAGGGGCGCCACGCCGGCCTCTACTCGCCTCTCCCCTGCCAGCCACTCCTCGCCTCCCTGCCCAGGCTCCTTAGGGCCCCAACAGGACACAGTTGCTGGAGCTAAGCAGCCACCACGAGAAAGAGTTGGCAAAACAGCTGGCTCAGTTCAAATTGGATCTAGCCAAGAAGGAGGCTCAGCAGAAGCACCTCACTGAGGACTACGAGCATAAGCTTTCCAAGCAGAGGGAAGACCTGCAGGAATGCAAGGCCAGGTACTGGCACCTGGAGGCTCAGCCAGTTGAGATGGTCAGCCAGTTCCAGGCCATAATGCAGTCCCACTGGAACGAGGCCCTCCGGCTCTTTGCCACCAGTGGCTCTTCCCTCCAGCCTTCGCCCAAAGTCCCACATCAGGAGGCTGGAGCAGACCCCAAGTCAGAATTTCTGCCCCCCTCCAACCTGCACAAAAAGACCCCGAAGGGGGAGACTCTCTGCAGCAACACAAATGTTCATTGCACGTATCCGGCCCAGGGGCCATAGTTTGAGGACCCCTGATTTAGTGCAATATAAAAAAAATGCAAATAATTTTTCTGCGGACCACCAAAATTTTCTCCCGAACCACCAGTGGTCCACGGACCACCAGTTGACAACCGCTGCTCCAAAATATCTGAAGGCAGGACAGGAAGCGATGAGTGGAAGTTCATTAAAGAGAGATCCAACCGAAAAACTAAGAGGAGAAATTTCCAGATCGTAAGAACAATTAATCAGTGGAACAGTTGACCTTCAGAAGTTGTGGGTGCTCCATCAGTGGAGGCCTTCAAAAATACTGGACAACCTTTGGACTGGAATGGTATACAGCTCCTGCCTTGAGCAGAAGGTTGGACTAGAAGACCTCCTGTCAGCGTTCCAGAACGACCCAACGCCAATTAAAAACTCCGAGGCAAGCATTTTCTCAAAGTTCCATTTATTAGAGTAAGTATACTCGCACATCTGGGAAAACTGAGAATCTGAGAGTTCCGGGTTTTTCCTCAGTAAACCAAAACCCCCAAATCCATCCCTTGCACCCATCAGTCCATCACATGGTCCGATCGTCATCCGTCCCATCTTGAGACACCACTCCGACCACTCTTTCTCCAGATGCAGGACTGCCATGACCTTGAAAAGAAGAATGTTATTTTGTCTACATTCCCTCTACTAAATCCCCCCTCCTACTTTCCCCACACACAAGAAGCTGGCAGCGTGGAAGCTTCCGGTGCTAATATGGCTTCCAAAGCCTTCACCTCTGAGGTGACGTCCAGCCTTATAATCTTACCTTCTGCGTTCTAATGAGGAGATTACTCTCTGTAAACTCAAAGCTTTCCTTCCTCCCACCCCAACCTACATCTCTGCCATGTTGTTGTATGAATCAGACATTCCACAGAAGATCCATTCTAAGCAAGCCTTGTGAGGGATTTGGCCTTATTATCAGACAAATGAAGCCCTTTAAACCACCAACTTGCCACCC